TCTCGAAACCAGGCCTGTAGCTACCACAGAGCAGGAGCTGACAACACCCTCCCCAGAGAGAGCCCCGCCCCGCCCCTTCGACCCATCGACCTTCTGTCTTGCAAACAAGCTGCAATGTTTCTCATGTTGTCTTGTATGTTTCTGTTTTTGTGTTGGTTTTTTGCTTCATGCTTCCGGAGCGGCTCTGCTTTTTAAGACTCTTTGGTTTTTTTTCTGTAAGTGTGTTAAATCCAATTTAATTTCTGTGTTTTTGCTGTTTATTTGTCTGGTGGTGCTGTTTTGAGTGTTTGCGCACATTAACTTGCAGGAACTTTCTGATCATCACCACGATGGAACATCTTCTAGGTGCAAGTAGATTGAAAAATTCATCTCATCACCTCTGTAAGATGAGAATCGTCCATTTTCTGACCATGTGATTGTCAACTGATAATGTTCACAGCCACATAAAGTGGACAAGACTTTCTCCGTTCACCTGCCCCATGTCACTTCAGGAAGTTAAATCAAGGATGTGTGCAAGAGCCACTCAGCTTACCACCTCGTAAGATATTGCTTCCTGTACGAAACGGCACTGACCAACTTTGAGTCATAGTTCACTTAGCTGCTTTCAAGAGGATGCGTGCTATGATACAAGACAAGATCCCACGTCGGAAAGAGGCTCTCAGTGCAAAGACGTCAGATTGTCAGCGGAGAGGACCCCCTTTTTTTCAGCATCATCATAAGTATCTTTTGTTTTAAGCTTGCAAAACACACAAGTCCTACATTCCAGGTGATCTATGGTTTTAGCTTTCGTTGGCTTTCAAGCCACGGGTTTAGAATTTCAGAAAGACTTTCGGGCTAGGTGTTTTGGATTTTCAGAAAGGCTTTCGGGCTACGTGTTTTAGATTCGTTTTCAAGGGGGCTTTTTCGGGCTACATGTTTTGGATTTCAGACAGGCTTTCGGGCTAAGTGTTTTAAATTAGTTTTCCGGGCTTTCGGGCTAACTGCTTTAGATTAGGTTTCAGAAAAGTTCGGGTTAACTGCTTGAGATTAGGTTTGCAGTGGGTTTTCGGGTTAACTGCTTGAAATTATGTTTCCAGTGGAGCTTTCGGGGTAGCTGCTTGAGATTAGGTTCAAGAGCTTGTTGTTTCGGGTTCACGTTGGTAGACCAACACAGCAAAAAGTAGAAAATCATAGATCTTTAGGGGGGTATATATATATATATATGTATATTTTGTTTGTATATATATATATATATACATATATATTTTGTATACTACGGTGCATATATACATATATATATAACATATGTATGATAATTTTATACTGTATTATATTATATTAGGTCGTAATATTTCATATATAACACATTACATTGTATGCATTATGAAGTTTTGTTTAGTATATATGTATATGTTATTATATTATGCCATCTTTTTATAATATGTTTTCAATCATTTATACATACTTGAACTCATATGTGTGTATATATATATATGCAGAAACAGTGTATTCTGTATATCTGTATATAGAAATGTGCATATGGGTGCTTTTTGTGATATATACATTGTGCATGCAACCGAACGACAAAGCTCTTAATTTTTGCACATGGTGTGTCTTTCTGCTGCAACATGAAACATGCATTCGGCTGGAGTCGCTCGTTTGTTGCCCGCACATGAACCTGGTCAAACCAAAAATCATTGGTGTGTTGCACTGCTTTGCAGAAGTTCCTGAAACATGTTGTGGCTCGCAATCACACCCATGGAAGTTGTTGACATCGCATTTGTGGTTGAATAGTTTCAACATGGAAAAACTTGTCGTTACAGGTTGGTTTCAAATAAGTGGTCCATCTAACCGTTTGGCACACATTGCACAAAATAATCCGCGGTCAAGCTTTTGAAATGAAGCTGTTTTTCGGATACATGGAGAGCCATGCTGCGCTGCCAAGAAGAGCTGCGGACATTCATGCAATGCTTGACTTTGCCACCCCCTCCCGCGGCGTGCCTCGATTGCACGATTGCTCTTGCAGTTGGAAAGTATGATATTGGAAGATCGGCCGAGCGGAAGGGCTGACACGCCAACACAAGCAAGCCAGGCCTTTAGCCCAAATCTTTGCGAGTTTGCATCGTTTCCGGAATCCCCACAGTCACAATTCGGGAACTACTTGTGCCGAAGATTTCAGTGGCAGTGTGAGCTTGATGTTTGTGTTCTCAAGAGTAGGATGTCCTCCAGTTTTTCGTTGTTGGTACTTGTCCTACAATGCACGAATGCGAAAGAGTAGGTCTTTGACGCATCGTGTGCAAAGTTATGTCCCCAAAAGTAGGTAAACTGACCAATTGATTCTGGTCATACTCATTCACCAAGGTCCAAGGCTTCGCCTCTACAATCGCCACTGAGTTTGATTAGCATCTAGCCGAATTGTTTGTGGAATCCGACCGCTGTCAGGTCACGCCCCGCACCACGAGCACATTTGCGGTGTCTGCCTCGTCCGATTTGCATCGACAGATTGATTTGAATCATTGCGGCATTTGCGCACCGTGGAATGGATTTAGTTCTTGCGAGAGCGGGTTGCTTTAATTTCGTCAAACAGCTCTCGATCGGGTGTTCGCCGCCTGCAATCTGAGTTTCAGCGCCGAAGCCTGAGGTTGGACCTGCCGTTTGACAAAGCGTTGGAGGAGTTGACAATTCGACTGGCGCATGACAGCACGCAGGCCGCAGACTGTGTCGCACATGTGTTGACAGTGGCGCAGGCACTGCCTCCAATCAGATTTTGTGCTGAGAGCGTTATGTCGCCTACTGCGAATTGATTTCGATGGGTTTGAGTATGGTTCCTGGTTTTCGTTTGTACTGAAGGTTGTCAGGGTTGTCGCCGTCGTTCCGGCAACTACAATCACACGTTCTGGAGGAAGAGGAGGGCCCGGCGCGGCGGGGCGGGGCGCAGGGGCGGGCGGGCGTGCAGGCGCAGAGGAGGAGGAAGGAGGAAGGAGGAGGGAGGAGGAGGCGGAGGAACAGGAGCAGGAGAAGCAGGAGCCGGAGCACGAGCAGTAGCAGGAGCAGGAGGAGGAGGAGGAGAGGAGGGAGGGGAGGAGGAGAGGAGGCGGAGGAGCAGAGGGGACGAGGAGGAGGCGGAGTCGGAGGAAGAGGAGGAGGAGGAGCAGGAGGAGGAGCAGGAGGAGGAGGAGAGGAGCATGAGGAGATATGAGGAGCAAGAGGAGGAGGAGAGGAGGGAGCATGAGGATGAGGCTGTTCTTTCTTGCTTGAGTTGGCGGCACCAGTCAGGAGAATGCGACGCCTGGTCGCCGTCTCAATTTACTTGTGATTTGCAGATCGACAACCGCCCCAACGCAGCATTATGTGGGAAGCAAGAACACGCCGGTGTGTCGTCCAAAGTTCGGCTTTCGCGCGCCAAGGTGCGAAGCCTTCGAAGCCCAGGCCACGTGTACGAATTGAAGTTGGTTTGTGCACAAGCTGGCAGGAAGATCAGGAGTGTCGTTTCTTAAAGTTGCCAAAGGTCAGAATTGGTCAGGGCCAGGCGTTTCGTAGACGACTGTTCTTAATCCGGTTTCATCTCAGAAGGCCTGCGTCGAGCACCCAAAACTGGCGTCGGGCCAGCCCGAGCAAGACGCCAAGCTTTTGAAGCGTTCCGACGAGCTGTCGCGAGACATGGTGCAGAAGCTCCAGACGCCGAGTCGAGGCCAGGCCCCAGCGATGAAGCGGGCAAGGTCAGGGGGCTCCGTCGGTTCGCGACACAGTGTGGAGCCTTGGAGACCGAGACGGTTCTTGCCGGAACGAGTCATGCTGGGCATTTGGAGGGCGCGTTGCTCAACTAGCTAACCCCAAACCAGACTGAGGTTCACCTGTGTCCCCTTCGTCGAAGAGGGGGCTGACAGGATCAGGAGCGAAGTTTGCATGACGAGTTCACGAGTTTTCGAGTTTTAGTCTTCCCAGATACCCTCCTTTGCCAGGGATGCCGGGCCGTCCGCGAAACTTTCTTGGTCAGTGGCCACAGACTCCGCCACGGTTAGCTTCAAGGCTCCTGCCGGGCCGCCCAAGGGACTGTTAGTGATTGACCGGCTTGGTTCTGGAGCTTGCTCAGGCATCAGAATGCCTCCACTTGGTCTGTAGACTTTGCGTGGAACCTTGTTCCATCCATCGAGGTCTTGCCACAGTGCAAACGGAAATCTTCAAGGATCTCCGTCCGCAGCCAGCACCTGGGCATAATCTGTGTGTGGAAAGACTTCCTTAGCCTTGTCAGACTGGAATGAGAGGTATTCGCGTATTCTCGCATGAGCGAGTTTTCAAAGTATGACTCTCACGTGTGGCGGGGGGAATCCCAAGCGATTTGTACAGCTACTGTGAGGTACAGCACCGCCTCCGGAAGCCTGGGGTGGCGCAGCAGCACTAGCCCTGTAGAGAGCAACGCCAGGAGCGCCGAGCCTTTCATGCGGATTGCATGAAGGTAAGAGTTGTATATATGGGCGTAAAACTGAAACGGAGCTGTTGATCAAGAAACGCAATTAAAACTGTTGTCCAGACATTGTAGCTTGGCATGGTTGCTTCTGCGTGCTATCTCGCTTCAGGCATTCTGTCTCTAACTGGCTACGAGACGAACCCAGGGCATTTTCTGGAGTTCTCGGTGTGTCTGAGCAGTGCTGGTTTTCCTAGGTCGAGGGTTTAGCTTTCAGGCAAAGCTCCGACTGAGCCGATATGAAAATAACGTGGCGCAGACCTGTCCGACTTTCCCAGGTTCAGCACAGCCGGAAGTGGAAATAGACAGTGCTTCGCTCGGAGGGTTCAGCAGTCATTCGCCCACTGCAGGGTCAAGTTGGCACTTTGATGTCTTGTACGTGCTTTTATACTCTGTGGTAAAGCCGTCGCTCTGCGACAGGCTTGCAAGAGAATCCTGCCGACATGGATGGGGAAGCAGGCAGGGGGACTGTAGGGATTGAGTCACGATCGTTTTGCAAAAGCTCCCAGTTGATTCTGTCTCAAGTTTCGGTTGTGAGGGGATCTCTGGCTGGACTTTCCAGCAACCGGGTCAGATTGCATGTGCCGTCGCTCTTGCTGTTGACAGATGGACTTCCCGGGTTGGCCTCAGGGTTGAGCAGCAACTTGTGTGGAGACTCGCGTGTTTGTTCTATTGCCAACCCCTTCGTCCGTGGTTGGTTTTTGGGTGATTGTCCTGTGCTTGTTGGTGCGTCCAACCAAAGGCCCTCTTCTGCCAACTGCTTTAGCGACTGCGGCTACTTGCACGCTTGACGGCACCGCAGGCGAGGGTGCGGTTTCTTTTGGTTGCTAGGATGCGTCCACTTCAGGTTTCGTTTTCTTTGGGGTTGTGGAGCCAATTGCAGAGGCTATTCCTCCTCGTCGCTTGCAGACGTTCCGGCCAGGAAATGCAGAGGGTGAGCTTGAGACTCCCCGCCCCCTTCTCTTCTCAGGGTTCTGCCAGCCCAAAAACCTTGTTGCCCTCCTGGCGGTCTGCATAGAGCAAGCCTCGAGACTGGGCGCCTCGAGTGAGGCTATCATGTGGTCTGGCTCGAACAGCATGCAGGGATGCATGCAAGGCTCACGCAAGGCATGGGAGCTGTCTTTTGGGGAGTTGCCCGTTTGCGCCGTTCGCGAGCGACGGTAGGAAAGCATTCGCCAAGGCCAAGACAACACTCGGCCCCGTCCTTCGCCTTCTTGGTCCGATCCTGCAGAGACCGAGGCCGTAGAAAAGCCCCGAGGCCACCACGAAAGCCCAAGAAGGACACAACTGCATTACTGCTGTGCTGTGCCCTTTCTCACCTCCTGCAGGCTGTGGGGGCCATTTCAAAGCCAATCTAAGCACCATCGGGATTCGTTGTCTTATGCTAAAGATGCTGCTTGGGGTGCGCCATGTGCAGCCCACGCTGCATCTGCCTCTGCCACTACGACATTTCTTTTGCGAGGCTTGCGTCTAGCATTCCCGGTTTCATTCCGAAGTCGTGCACCGGGTTCGGGGCCTTTGTGGCTTTAACATTTGACATGCCCAAGCACCGGGTGGGCACCAGCCCCCCGAAAATCCCCGAGGCGCTTCTCTTTCAAATCGCTCAACGAACGGCTCCGGTGCAGATCGTCGAACTCCCGCCGGAGGGGTGGCTATGCAGCGATACATACTGTCATGTGCTGGCCCTGATGAGCACCCATTGTCATCTGGCGAGCCAGCATTTGGAAGTTGAGCGCCTGGATTTGGGCACTCCCGGAGGATTTGCCTCGTGCTGTACCAACGGCCGTGCCCAGGGTGGAACTTTTCCGGCATGCCGTAGCTCCACCTGTACCGGTCATTGGACAATATTGGACACATCCTGGCTAAAGCTTTTTTGGTAAGGGTCGTTGGGACATGTCTTCTTGGCTGTCCTGTGTGGCTGCCTTTCTTGGAGCACAGGTGCGCTTAAACATAGCTGACGGCCTTACCCGTTGCGTGCCACTGAGGGGCCTCGCTCCGTGTTCCGTTGCTTAAGGTCCTCCACCTCTCCCTGAGTTGCACAACATTGGTCGTCCTCGCCTTGCCTGCCATCGCTGCTCGAGGCCCCTCCTGGGACTTTGCCGAGTCTCCTTGCGTCCGGCAACTCGACTTCGACTCGACCCTGGGTGTTTCCCTTCTGTGGGCCCCACTTTGGCTTTTGCCTACCCCGTTTTGCTTGCTTTTGGAATTTCTCCTCGAGCCTTTGCGCCTCGTCTCCGGGTTGGGCCTTGCACTTACCTTCGGCCCACCGTCCCTGCAAGCCTTCCTGGCTCTTTCCCGGGGATTGACTGCGACCGCGGCTTCCCTGGTGCCAAGGGCGAGTTCCCTGTCATGGTTTGTTCCGCTTCAACCCTTTGCTGCGGCTGCTGGCATCGCCCAGTGTACAAACTGACGCTGATTGTTGGATTGCTGGCACGATCTTCTTCACAAGTCCTCAACTCAAGCTTAGAACGTATCAACCTTCGTCAAGATGTCAACTTTGTTTTGTTTATGTGTTTCTGGGTCAGTCCTTCGAAATCGTTCTGCAGATGCAAAAAATCTGGCAGGACCTGAGGTCCAGCTCTTTGGCGCGGTACTGCGCTCCGCTTCAAACCGTGCTTCGGGGTCTGCACGGAGAGGCTGGAGTTCTTGCATCTCCATGTGGAAACAAGGCGCCTGTCCAGCTGCAGACACAACCAAGGGATCAAGGCTGATCAAGGGTTATGATAGCGAGGAAAAATGCAGCTTCGCCTGGTTGAGGGCTTGATGTGGTCGGTTTTGGGAGGATGATCATTTTCGCCCTTGCTGTAGGTCGAAGCAAGCCAAAGAGATCCGACATGCTGCTCAGTGTGGGTCGGCAGCTTTGTGTTGGGATTGAACTGCTGGGACTCTATTCCCCTGATGGAATTGGTGTCAAATCCTTTTCCAGCTTTGATAGCTTCGCATTTAAACCATGCTGGTCCAGAGATTTAGGTTCTAGATGCAGGGTTGTCTCGTTTTGATCCTCAGTTGCGGCCAAAGCCCGAGTAGATTTGTATTGATCGTGCTCAACTTGCACTAGTTACATCTTGACATTCAGAGTGAGCTGACCTGGTTGTTGCTCTTGTCGTCCATGGGCTTGATGGAATTGCGCAACGACAAAGGTTCTTCGAGAAGAGGAAGTTCCAACTCCAACTTCTCTGAAATCGGCCCGGCCCTTTGTCAACTGTGTTCGATGTCGCTTTGGTTGTTGCTCATGGTGGACGACGTGACTCGGGATTCGCAGGTTTTGAACGAAAGCCATCAAAGAGCGCCAGCAAAGGCAGGAATTCTGGCTGATGATGCTCTCTGCCTTGCAAGTGGTACTAATGCTCATGCTCTCCGAAAGCTGCGTACCTGGCACTCATGCCAGACTCAAGCATGACGGCACCGGCTTCCTACCAGATCCAGGCTCGAGATTCCGACCACACCTCCATCCAGAGAGTGCAGAGAATTCGCTGGTTTACTTCTGTCTTTTCTCTTCCCAACCCGGAGAATCATGCCCGCAGGAGATGGACGAAGCACCACCAAGATCACGAGCCAAGGACGAGGTTTTCTTATCGCTTTCGTCCCTGCATGTGAGCCTTTTCAAGGCTTCCAGCTCGAAGCCCCTGCCACGAGCTTTAGACCTGCTTGCGGAGCAGGAGTTCACCGAGCAGCGCCTCGCACAGACGCTTCAGTTGCCGCTCGAAGTTGTAAAGCAGGCGAGCTGGCGGTGCAATTCGTAGATTGATGCACATGCGAGTGCAAAGAGGCCCAAGCAGGGCAACGGTGTCTCACTTGTAAGACCTTGGTACAGTGTCCCGAAAACATAGATTGCGGAGGCCGCACATTGCTTTCGGCAGCACGCTACCTGGCAGCAGAATCTGCCGCGCAGTGCCAGTCAGATATCTGTATACTTCAGGCTGAGTTCAGGCTGCGTCATCTGTTAAAAAAAGGCTGCTGTCCAGAAGTTGCAGTCCTGCTGCGACACGTCTGGACGCCGTTTCTAGGGCGGTCTTGGCGACTTTTGAGGCTTGTGGATTGGCAGATACCAGTTGGATACCTCATCAGCTCAGCACATTGCAATGTCACTTCAGAGATCCTGCCGAGCGTCAGGAATTGCACGATATAAGACCTCATCAGCTCAGCCCTCACTGTTTCATAATTTATAACTTCATCGTCAGGCAGAATGCGAGCCGCCAAAACGTCCAGATTTGTGGCGAAGCTCGGCTGCCTCTTCACGTCGTCTTACGTTCTGCCCTAGAGAGGCCGTGAGCGGTCACGGTAGGAACCCTGGAAGTCCCTGAGCTGCTCAATGCCGACATCACACGGAGCACAAGCCATAGTAAGTATAATTCCCTCAGATGGTTGCTGCGAGCCTTAGTTAGTTCTTTGTTGCCATCAGTGCAATGCAGTGCGCAAGCTGGACGAAGTGGACAGTGCAAATTGAAGCTCCATGTGGAAGCCAAAGCAGCTGCTTCTGAGGACTCAAGCAGTCGGCCTTCGAAAAGGCAGCGGCATGTCGCTTGTGAAAAAGCCTACGGCCTACGGCAATCGTGCAGCAAGATGTTCCTGTCGACAGTATTGGAAAGTTGAGCAATGAAACTACATCGGTGAGAAGATCGTATCAACGTTTAGCTTAGTGCAGGCCTCTCAGAACTGAGCCAGGTTTTGTGCGACCTTTGCTCCGTAGCCGACACGAAGGAGCTCTCGCAACTCTTTGTCTCAAAGGCCTGCTCGGATACAGTCGGGGTGCTACACGATGGGGCTACTTTCGTCGTTGCTGTATGTTCAGATTGATGATGTATGCTCGGTTCTGAAATGCCTTGATCTGGTCGCTTGCGTTGGGATGTGGTGCCGACAGGGTCTGACGAATTTGGGCAGGCTTGCTGTCTCACCTTGGCAGCCAGGAATGATTTCTTTTCAGTTGGCGAAAGTGCGACGGGGCATCACCCGATGTGCCACCGCATGCATGGACCACCCGGAATATTCCCTGGTGAACCCGGTAGATCCTACCCTACAAAACACCTTATGTTTGGGTACTAGCAGTTTCCTGGCCTCTTCCAGCTTTCTGTTCTGCAAGCTGGCTTGACGCTTGAGAAGGAGGTGCTCATCGGAAGACAGCTCTGTCATCTTTTGGCGAAGGGAGGGAGGAGCGTTATTATATACAGGTATTGGTCGCTGCAGAATCGACCCCAATAGCGGCTTGAGGTACCGTGCCCATTCGTATATAGCAGAGAATCGTTTCCAGATGACGCAGTTGGAAGGGCAGTGATTGGTTGCAGTTTGGTATTTGTACCGGGCGTTCGCTCAGTCCCAGCAGTCCAAGCTATGATACGGCATGAGACCACTTGGACGGTCCATCGGCGATGTCTGCCCAGGTGTTCTTCTTGGTTTCTGAGTTGCACTTGCGCAAGCAAACTCTTCTTGCGTGCATTTCATCTTTCGTGTCACCATGTGCGAAGGCAGGGCATCACATGGAGCAAAGTCTAGACGTCCTTGTGAAGGCTTTCCGTCTCGCAGACATGACGAAGAGTGGGGACCTCGATCTGCAGGAGACCGGGTTGCAATGAAATTACAACTCATCTCAGCCTTGTCGCTCAAGATGCCAGCCATTCGCTGCGTTTTGGGCACTTCTGGTACGACGCAAATCGTCGAACCCTTGTGATCCCAGATTGGCTTCGTTGTGGCAGGAGTTCGTCACATGGTACGCCACCTTCAGCTTCTCAGAGGAGACCTGGTGCAATTGACATTTAGCTCGAAAGGCGAGGTCCGAAGCATCGCTTGTCTATTTCAGCAAAATCAATGCGGCATCACAGGTGAATTTGGCACTAGGTCACTAGGGTGTAACACGCCAGTCGCGGTTGCTGCCTTCAAGCTTTCGAAGCTTTGTAGTATAGGCAAAATACAACTGTACCGTGCCAGAAGCTGTTTTATGGTGTTTTCACACAAGGTGGACGCAGAATGCAAACGATCCTCGTGGTCATTTGAGGGATCCACAGCCACCGACATGAACAGAGCCCTTCATCGCTGCATCGCAGCCCTGGCTCACAGGCAAAGTCGATCTTTCTAGACATCCCTCTCTCTTCTTGTGATCATGTTTGGGGTCGGAGGATATCGCACAAATAAGTGCGACGAGAAATGACCCCACGTAGGGTTCGAGATTGAATGTACGAAACGGTGTATATTAAGTATACTTCCTTTGGTTGAGAGATGGGCGGGTCGTCGGTGTGGTGTGTGCCGGACCATTATGAGAAAAACGAAAACAAGGTGTGAATTTACATTTGGATGCTCCAAATCCGCAGTGTTTCCGGCAGTGCTCAGGTCTGACCAACCCGAAAAGGCCACGGTTAGCGAGATGTGTGAATGAGTAACTTTCGGATGCAGGAGCTGCTGCTCGGAAAGTCCACGAAGAACGTTCGCGATGCCGCTGCCTAAATCTCAATCGCATGTATTTTGGGGCGCTGTCCGGAGCACGAGAGCTCAACACTGTAAGGGTGCGCGGCATATGTCGATTGGTGGTACATCTCCGCAGCCTGAGGTGGCCAGAACGCTGGGCATCAATTTGTTGGATATCGAGCGGTACAAGCGTGTTTTCGACAGCTACGACAAAAACAAAAGCGGCGTCATTGAGCAACCTGGCTCTTTGGTTCGTGTGGTTTGGCGTCACGAGAATTCCGGCCCATGATGTGTCACATCTGTTTCGAACCGGAAGGATGGCAGAGTTTCGCTTGATGGTGAACCGCTTGCTGAAGGCATCGCATTTTCAGCGCTCCGTTCTTTGTGGGATGTAACTGCTTCGGGTGCTGCGGTATGTTTGCGTGGCAAGTACCTGCACTTGGAATGGGTGGAGTCGGTCCAGTACACAGTTTTGGCATGGGGCATATGGGGCACCTTGAAACTCAGATACCAACTGATTCAGAGGCACCGGCAGCATCCAGTATTCGTGCATAGATGCTTTCCAGGTGCCCGCAGGGCATCATTTGCCTGCCTCGGTCGAGACTTGGCTAATATCGGACCAACCTGCGGGGGTATTTGGTACTGGGAGGTGTGAGAAGCGCGTGTGTCAGGTGAAAAGCTTTTGGAACATGGCTGACGGCCACCTGCCTGGACCTACCAGAGACGGAGTCTGGCTGATCAACGGTTTTCGTGAGCTGCTTGTGTCGCACCTGCAACACATCTTACGTAGAAGCGGGCAGCATGTGCAATAGACAAGGTGGCCCGAAAGCAACAGAGCTTCAACCGGCGAATTTACGCAAACTGCGCTTCACTAAAGGCAAAGCTCATAGGACTGACATTTACAAGGTGATGGAAACGGCCACATTGACTTCCCCGAGTTCTGTGAGTTCTATCTGACCCTTGGCTTCGCTGAGGTGTCCAGGCATGGAGTCGTCTTCTAGGCTTTTAAGCGAGGATCAACAAACTTGAGAAGAACCAAAGATGCGGATCAAGAAGCGCCAGCTGGGGACATCACCTAACTTTATGACGGACGATGAGAGACGAGGCAGCTTTCCAGCCTTGAGCTTTGCTGCACCTCATGCCCTGCTTTGCTTTGGGGTTCGTTGTTGAAGTGCCGAAAGGTATTGTCCCCGCAGCGGGCGACAGCTTTTTAAAGGTCGGTGTCCGCTTCGACTCTTGTCCCCTGCCCCACCGCATCTCTTGACCTGCTTGTTGATAGGAAGGGTACGATTTAGAGGGTTTTAGGTACCTACATTACAAACTTTATCCGAGGGACGATGAGTGGGGTATTCAGAAATTGTTTCTGGGCATGTAGGGCTTGGGCTGCTTCTTAAGGTGGTCCTTCGTTGTGCCGTTACCGTCCACTCCCCGTTCAGGTAGAGGTTTTTCCAGTTGAAGATTTGCAACTTTTGTCCCCTTTCAGGGTCCAGGGTGGCCGCTCGCCCGTTGTAGACCAGGGATTGAAATTCTTTTTTCCTTCCACACTTCCCGGATTGATGGCTTCAATATTTGTAATGCGCAAAACGAGGGTTGCGATTTCACAAACGCTTGCCCCTCGTCGTTCTTGCCGGAATTGACTCGGTGTGGCCACTCTCCCTTCACAGTGGCTACCAATTTTAGGGTTAGGCATTTGCAGCAGTGCAGCCTGTTCTGAGGGTTGAGGGTGTTGCAGCCCAGCAGCACAATTCTCCATATTTTTCATTGTGCGGGTTTGCCACTCCCGGTTCCTTTTCGGGATAGCGTTTTTTGGGGTTTTATGTTTTTGACGACAGTTCAACCATGTCTTGGCTGGCGCGCTTGCTGTCCACCGCGTCGGAAACAGGAGCTAGTGCCGCGCCACGCCGCAATTCGAATGTTCCCGCCCCTTTTGGGGGTTTAAGGATTTCCAATGCCGAGTTAAGGTAGCCGTGCAATTGCCCTATGGCGTTCATGGGGGGTACAACTAGATGCGGGTGTGGTCCGTCGTTGGAGGGTATGATCTTCTTGTGGCAGTGTCTATCATGTCTATCCGATGGAGAAACTGCATACCACGACGGCGTCCCTCCGCGACCATCCAATCTTTGACAACCGAACAGAATATGCTACCGTGAGTAGTTTCTGCTTACTAAAATGCTTCAAGCAAGGTTTGGTGTTGGCTTGAATTTGGGGTTTCTGAGGCCGGAACTGGCTTACCCGCTTGTGTCCAAACTTCGCGTCTTGTGACATTCAGGTTTAGAGTTTGCCAGTGTGTTTTGATTAGGGTTTGCCGCCTCCGACAACGTGCGTGTTTTGGTATCGCAATGGGGTTCTCATGAAATCTTACATTCGCCCACTGTTGCTGAAAAAGTGCGTTGTTTTCATAGTCCGGTGCCGGCTCGCGGTCCGAAGTGGCCGCCGCCCGCTGCAGAGTAAGGTTCCTTGTTTTTCTTTGTTCTCTTTGCATAAAAATTTCGATTGACTGCTTCATCATTCGATGTCCAGCCCCTCCAGGGTGGCGATTTTACTGATTCATTTCTTGCCGGGATGACTTGGTTTGGCCACTCTCCCTTCACGGCGCCCGCCAATTTTAGGGTTTAGGCGTTTGCAGCAGTGCTGCCTGTGTTGAAGGTTGAGGGTGTGGCAGCCCAGCAGCGCCATGCTCCATGTTTTTCATGGTGCAGGTTTGCCACTCCCGACTCCTTATCGGGACAGCTGCTTTTAGTTTCGATGTTTTTGAGGGTGAAGGATTTCCAATTCCAAATGAAGGTTCTTCACCTTGTCTTTGCTCCTCTTAATTTTACTTGTCGGGTTTTGCCACCGTGCATTCTTTTTCGGCGAGGGGGGTTTGTCACCTTTTTGCTTCTTTCGTTTTTCTTCTTGCGGCCTGGTTCCGGGTTTAGGCCCAAGCCTTGCCATTGCTTGCCGTGCAAGATTGGTGGTTGGGTTTTTGGCTCGCTGCACCGCCGTCTCTTTTCTGGATTGCTGGGGCATTGCTCCTCCGACTCCATTCTGGGTGTTGGGACTGTAAGTAAGGTCAGTGGGCGCCTCCACGCACGTCTCCTAGATTTAGTGTATACAATCTTTTTAAAGTTCTTCGCCCTTTCCAGGCCATGTCTTTTCAACATTTTTCGACATTACAGTTTGCGGTCTGTCAGCGAGTGCAGCTCTTGGGGTTTTGAATAGGGTTCTCGACCTCCGGCCTTGTAAGTGCTATAGGACTTGTTGTTGACAAACTTCTTTTCATAATCCGGCGCCGGTTGCGTCCGCCGAGGATGCCGAATTCATAGTAAGATCGTCCTCCGGCCACAGACCCGCGCATTTCCGCCTCACAATGCCGTATTCCTGCCACACTGCCGCGCGACTTTTGGGTGCAAACGACGGTGGTCCGTGCAGAAGTCCGTTTCTACCTGGCGAAGTCATGCTTTGCCGCAACAGCTTGCTTAGTCTGGGGTGCACACCGCTCCCGCAACAATGTGTTGACATGCAGAAATGGTTTTTGGCATGTAGGGCTTGGGCTGCTTATTTAGGTGTTCCTTCGTTGCTCCACGTTTAGGTAGAGGCTTTTCCACTCGCTTGCCGGGTTGAAGGTTTGCAACTTTTGTCCCTTTTCAGGGTCCAGGGTGGCCATTGGCCCGTTGTTGCCTAAGCGCGAGTTTTTCGGATTAACTGATTTCTTGACATTCAATGCCCATGCCACTTTCAATCTTCCACAGTTGCGACCCCACGCATATTCAAGATATGCATATGCCTTTGTCACTCCGCTTTTCGGGGTCTTGGCCACTCTCCTTTCACGGCGCCCGCAATTGTAGGGTTTAGGCATTTTGCGGCAGTGCAGGCTGTTCGTTTGAAAGTTTGCCACCCTCGATTCCTTCTCGGGATCGCCGCGTTTAGGCTTGATGTTTTTGTGACACCCGTTTCTTGGCTCGGGGCGTGCTGTCCACCACGCCAGAGACAGGAACTGAAGGGGATTTGTCATTTTGCTGGGTTTGTTGTTTTGTCTTGCGGGCTGACTCTTGGTTTAGGCTTAGCGCTTGCCGTTGCTTGCCTTGCAAGATTGGGGTTTGGGTGGTTGCCTCGCTGCAATTTTTTCTGGATTAATGGGGCGCAGCCGCTCCCACTCCTTTCTAGGTTTTGGGAATGCGAAGGTTGTGGCCAGCCCCCCGTGTCTTCTACGGTTTCGTGTATCCAGTCTCTTGAAGCCTTTCAGGTGTCAAGTTCCTCCCACCACACCCGTGCAATTCCGCGTCACAAAGCCCTACTCCTGTCACGGTGCTTTGCGTATTTTGCGTTTGAGATGTCTCAGCAGTTTAATTTCTGCATGAATGGAGTGTAGCCGCAAAGCAGCTCCCACTCCTTTGGAAGTGTAAAGGTTGTGCTCCATTTATGTCTTGTAGGGTATGTAGGGTTTCGTGTATGCCGTCTGTTGGTTTGAAGTTCTTTGTTCTCCCGGAGCATGTCTTTCGAACATTTTTCGACATTGTGGTTCGGGGCTTGCCAGTGAACACGGCTCGTTGGATTTGATTACGGGTTTGCGACCTTCGGCCTGCGGCCTTGTAAGTGTTTTTTTCCTAAGCAGTGTGGAATCTTACATTCAGGTTTTAATTAACTTTATGTTGACACAGTCCCTTCCACAGTCCGGTGCCGATTGCGTCCGCCGACAATGCTGCATTCATAGTAAGATCGTCCTCCCGCCACAGACCCGCGCATGTCCGCCTCACAAGGCCGTATTCCTGCCACAGTGACGTGCGTATTTTGGGTGCAAAAGACGGTGTTCCGTGCAGCAGCCCCTTCTCGCCTGGCAAAGTCATGTTGCCGCAGCAGTGTGCGTGCATCTCCCGCGACAGAGTGTTGACATGCAGAAAAGGGTTTTGGGCATGTATATAGGGCTTGGGCGGCTTATTCAGGTGGTCTTTCATTCTGTTGTTACCGTCCGCTTCCCGCTTAGGTAGAGGCTTGTCCACTGGGTAACTCCCCCCCTTTTAAGGGCTCGAAGCGGTCAGGGCTGGAAAATCGTTCTTCCCTCCGCATTTTTTGGATTGATTGGTTCAACATTCAATGCCGATGCCACCTTCAAACTTCCAAGGTTGCGATTTCGCACATATTCAAGACCAAGATTTGCCTTCCACTCGGCTTTTCTTGCCGAGGTCAACTCGGTTTGGCCACTCCCCCTTCATGGCGCCCACAATTGTAGGGTTTAGGCATGTTGCAGCAGTGCAGTTTGCTCATTTGCATGTTTGCCACCCCCAACACCTTCTCGGAATAGGATTGATGTTTTTGTGAGGCCCATTTCTTGGCCTGGGGAACGGGATTTGTCATCTTCCTGCATCTGTTTTTTTTTCTTGCGGGCTGACTCTTGGTTTAGGCTTAGCACTTGCCGTTGCTTGCCTTGCAAGATTGGGGTTTGGTTGTTGCCTCGCGGCAGTTTCTTTTCTGGATTCATGGGGCGCAGCCGCTACTCCTTTCTAGGTTTGGGGAATGCACAGGTTGTGGCCAGCCGCCCGCGTCTTCTAAGGTTTCGTGTATCCAGTCGCTTGAACTCTTTACGGGTCTTTACGGTTTCAAGTTCTTCGCTCCCATTCGTCCACTGTTGCTGACAAAGTGCGTTCTTTTCCTTGTCCGGTGCCGGCAGCATGCGCCGAGGATGCCGAATTCATGGTAAGATCGTCCTCCTGCCACAGCCCCGTGTATTTCCGTGCCACAAAGCCGTACTCCGCGTTCAAGATATCTCAGCAGTTTCTTTTCTGTGTACAGGTTGTGGCCAGTGGGCTCCGCCACCCACGCCTTGTAGGGTTCGTGCAGTGTATGCAGTCGCTTTAAGAAAAGATTTCAAGTTTTTCGCCCCTTCCAAGGCATGTCTTTTCAACACTCTTCGACAATGAGGTTTGGGGGTTGCCCGCGAGCACTGCTCTCGGGGTTCGGTTAGGGTTTGCCACCTTCGACCTTGACTGTGGCAGAGCCATGGGATTCTTATGGAATGTTACATGCGTCCATTCTTACTGACAAGTGCTTTCTTTTCCTTGTCCGGTGCGAGCTGCGTCCGTCGAGAATGCCGAATTTATGGTAAGATCGTCCTCCCGCCACAGACCCGTGCAGTTCCGGCTCACAATGCCGTATTCCTGCCACAGTGCTCTGCGTATTTTGGCTGCAAAACACAGTGTTTTGTGCAGCAGTTCCTTCCTGCCTGGCGAAGTCATGCTTTTCGCTCCTGCACCAGTGTGTTGACATTTTCAATTGTTTTTGTGCATGTAGGCCTTGGGCTGCTTATTTAGGTGGTCTTTCGTCGTGCCGTTATCGTCCCTCCCCGTTTGGGTAGAGGCTTTTGACTGTGTAACTCCCCTCCCTTTTTCAGGGTCTGAAGTGACTGGTCACGGCTCGAAATTCGTTTCTCCCTCCGCATTTTTGGATTGATTGCTTCACTATTTAATGCCCAACC